TAGAATATTTCAAAATGTCCAAATGTAAATGGAAGATAGGAAAAAGTATAATATTGAATAGTTTAATATTGTACTTAGTTATAAATACGATGCATTAATTTCAATGTACACGCGAGTGCATGTGTATACAGTTTAGACAAGGTTAATAGAACGCACCTTGCAATCACTGTCACACAGAAGCTTTTGTTAAATATATATATATGGCGACGTGAGGTTGTGGAAGAGTGAATGAAACGTATCATAGCAGAAAGGTGGGTGTTAGTTCCATTATCTCTTAAACTTATATTTTCCATATGTGTTTATATGTATTATGTATGTCCAACCCCATTCCTGGTGTTCTCCCATGTTGCAAACCAACGACTATTGTGATTTTAAAATACACATGGAAGTTTTAACAATACTATCTGCCAATTGCCAGGGTCTTGGTGATATAGCGAGACAAAAAGACGTATTTGCATACTTGAGAAATAAAAATTATAATATATATTTTGTCTTCAGGATACACATTTTACAGCAGAAAAGGAAAAATTTAATTCGGGGTAATTGGGGTCTTGACTGTCTTTTTAATTCCTACAATTCAAATTCTAGAGGGGTTGCCATTCTTTTTAACAACAACTTTGAATACAAGATTTTAAACACTATAAAAGATGACAATGGGAATATTTTAGCTTTTAACATCCAAATAGAAGGTGAAAAACTTACACTTATAACTGTATATGGTCCTAACAGTGACAGACCAGATTTTTATGAAACAGTGGGAAATATTTTAACAGATTTGGGAAATTTTCAGTTTGTTATATGTGGGGATTTTAATTTAGTTATTGATCCAAAATTAGAATGTGACAATTATCGGCAAATAAATAACCCCAAGGCCAGAGATAAAGTTTTAGGACTTAAACAAGAATTAGGTATGATAGATACTTTTAGAGAATTAAATCCGGATACAAGAAGATACACTTGACGTAGAAGAAATTCATGTAAACAGGCAAGATAAGACTACATTTTTATATCCGATGGACTGCTCCTAAGTTTAACTGCTTAGTCTATTGAGCCAGGATATCGCTCAGACCATTCCATATCAGTTATAAGTTTAAGCTTCACAAAATTTCAAAAGGGGAGGAGGTTATGGAAATTCAATAATTCATTACTTCAAGATTCAGAATATTTAAATGCCATTATATCTCTAAATGTGAACAGTAAAAATCAGTAAGTGGTACCAATTTGCATTATGGACAATATTGAAGATGTTTCTTTGGAAGACTTGATGTTTGTAATTAAAGTAAATTGAAGATATTCAGGAACTAGAAAGGGGACACTATCAAGTAATATTGAGTTAAACAATATTGACATAAAAAGAGAGAATTAGAAAACTTAAGAAAGCATAAATTAATGGGCAATATGATACGTTCACGAACAAAATGGATAACTAAAGGAGAAAAGCCAACTAGGTACTTTTGTGGGCTAGAATCTAGAAACTTCACCAGTAAAATGATTCCAAAGATAGAAAAAGACGATGCTATAGTGATTTTAGAACAGACAGAAATTCTAAATGAAACAAAACTTTTTTATGAAAATTTGTACAAAAGAAATACTGCCATACAGGATGTAAACTTAGAGGACTTGTTTGATTTATATGATATACCTAAATTATCTCCCCTAGAATCATTATCATTAGAAGGACAAATTACTATATCTGAAATGGCAAAAACAAAAATGAAAATGAAAGATAATAAAAGTCCTGCTTCCGACGGCTTTAAAGTATTTTGGAAACAACTTCATTGTCAGGTCAATCAATTTTGGTTATTCAGTTTCAGAACTGTCAGTTACTCAAAATCAAGGAATTATAACATGCATCCCAAAAGGCGACAAACTCCGTAATAAACTAAAAAATTGGCGTCCATCACACTTCTCAATACTATTTATAAGATGGCATCCGGCACGATAGCAGAAAGACCAAAAACTTTAATAACTAAATTAATTAGCAACAGTCAAAATGGTTTTATTACAGGTAGATATATTGGAGAAAATACATGTCTTATTTATGATTTAATGCATTATACTGAAGAAAATGACATACCTGGTCTTCTATTGTTAGTTAATTTTGAAAAAGCTTTTGACTCTGTGTCTTGGAATTTTATTACAAAAACTTTAAATTTCTTCAATTTTTGACTATCACTTATTAACTGGATCAACCTTTTTCATCTTATGTCCTGAAATTTTATCGATTCTATTAAGAAATAATTCAGATATCAGCGGCATTGTTGTAAATAACAAAGAAATTCTTTTATCTCAGTTTGCTGATGATACGTCTGTTATCCTTGACGGTTCAGAAAAATCTTTAAATGTAACGCTACAACAACTTAACAATTATGCCAGAATTTCAGGCCTTGAAATGAATTTCACCAAGACCCATGTAATCTTGATAGGCAGTTAAAAATATAGTAATAATAAATATACAACAGAGCACAATCTTTTGTGGGGAAGTACACGTTTTAATTTGCTAGGCATTGAATATGATGTTGATTTACATAGAGTAGTTAAATTAAACTTTGATAAGAAACTTGTTAAACTTAAATCTCTCATAAGTTCGTGGAATAGAAGAAATCTCACTCCAATAGGTAAGATATTATTAAAACATTGCTAATTTCACAATTTAATAATCTTTTTATAGCTCTTCCAAACCCACATGACTCTTATATATATACATAAAAGAAAAAACATATCATACAAATTTTTGTGGTGCGGAAAGACTGATAAAGTTATACGTGATGTTATAATTAAGTCATATGAACAGGGTGGTTTGAAAATGATTCATTTAAAGTCTTTCATAACAGCACTAAAGGCAACGTGGGTACGGAGGATCTATAAATAAGATGCTAGTTGGACTTTCGTTACTGAAAACTACATTGATAAGCTGAATTCATAAATTGAAAATTATATGTGAAGAATGTAAAAATACATTTTGGAAAAACGTTCTAGAAGCATTGTAACAAACAATAGTGTCGTCCAGTATATATAGTGAAAAAATATGTGAAAATCCTTTGTGGTATAAACAATAAGCCTGTTTTCTGTACAGAGTGGTATAGAAAAGGAGTGTTTTTTTTATATCTGATGTTATTAAAGAAGATGATTCTTGTTATAATTTTGTAGAATTTCAACATAGATATGATATTAGGTCCAAATTTTTAACTTTTCACAGTATAATTAGTGCTATAAAACAGTTTATAAATAGTAAACAAGAAATCTTTGATTTAGAAAAGAGTATTTGTTTACCTAATATACCTTGAAATCTTAATGTTATATTAAGGAAGGCTAAAGGGGCACAGGATATTTACGCTGTTTTAGCCCAAAATCATACAAAACCTACGTCACAAAAGAAATGGTTTACGGTTTTTTAACATTCAGGACAAATTATAGATTAAGATGAAAGTCATTCAAGGTCAATAATATTTTCAAACTTGATGGCCAATTACCTCGCCGTGTTATGTATCAAATAGTAGGACTGTAGACCTTGTAGAACTTTAGAAGAAATTGTTTGAAGTCATTATCTTGAAATAGCACATATGAAGTTTGACCCCTGAATAACTCAAAACTCGACCTGGTAAACTCAAAATGTTTTCTACCAAAAATGTGCGCGTTTGTGTTGTCCATATCACACCTGAATATAAAGTGAACCTATCGAACAATTTTCGAAATATTCTTGATTAAAGAAATTTTAATTTTTTAAACATTTGACATTTGTGACCTTAATTGTGACCTTGATAGTTGATCAATGTCGACCCTTTTTTTCAAACCTGATACCCAAACATCTTAGCATCTTAAATATGAAATATCAAGACTCTAGACCTTGTGGAACTTAAGAAGATGATTTTTTAAGGTTGGTACCCAATATAGTGCATTTTAACTTTGACCCCTGCCGAAAACCGGAAGTTGACATATTTTGTTAAAACAATATGAAAGAAAAAGTTTGCTCTTGCCTATCTCTATATGATATTTAAAGATCAACTTCGTGCTTGATATCGTTAACGAAATATGTTGGTATAGGCTGTTAACCAATCAGAGTTCGTGGCGGCCATCTTGGAATATATTGCTCCAAAAAGTAACATAAGTTCGTAAGGACCCTAGAGGAATACATGTACCAATTGTGGTTAATATTGCAATGGCAGAATTGGAGAAGATCGTTGAAGTTTGTAAAAATAGTGTCGGATTTCAAAAAAATAAAAATATTGTGACTTTTGACACAGCAGCGAGCGTTTTTATTTAACTTTTTTTTGAGATAAAGCACTGACAAAAAAGTTAGCCCCGAAGATGATCTACATATAATATAATTGCATCAATTCTGTAAATTAAATCGTTTTTGAGTAATGGTCATTTTAAAATTTTAAGGTATGACGTCATGGCGGCCATATTGGATTTTTGACCTACTTGAAAATGTCGCAATGACACCTTCAGATATAGACCTACAACACACTTTTCGGATTTCAAACTTATCTTTTACCAATCAAAAGATAGACTGGACAAAATATGGAAGAAGAATAAGAAGAAGAAAAAGAAGAATAAGAAACATAACAAAAACAATAGGTCTTTTCACCAGTTGGTGAAAAGCCCTAATAAGAAGAATAAGAAGAAACATAACAAAAACAATAGGTCTTTTCACCACTTGGTGAAAAGCCCTAATTATCATTATACAATAAAGAAAGGTTTGCAAAACCACACTCTTACGATATAATTCATGCAGTTCAATACAGTAAATGTATTCTTACTTTCTCTATGCCCCCTACGCAGAAGACACAGAGGAAACCATCGCCTCTTCTGCAGGGTTGTACACACGTGATATGCTAGTTCAATGGAACAATACTCAGATAGCACTCCAGGTAAAGAGAAAAGGTCAGATTTATAGGATCACATGAAATAGAACAGATCATGTTTATGTGAACGCTAGTTAAAGATATAGCCATGTTAGTGTTTGATAGGTGAGAGTCTATCCTGTACAACAATACCTTACAACCCTCACAGGTAGCGGTGCCGTAGTGAACTCCCATCGCCTTCCCCGTACATATACGACACTTCCCGAATGGAAACGAGACCGATTCATCCGTCATCATTAGTCCTTATTAAGAACCTGTTAACGTTGGTAAATCCTTATACCTCTGTTTGTCTGTCAAAACGAAAGTCTCCAAAGAATGTATATATACACGAACAAATGTTTCTACAGGCAAAATGTTGCAAACAATTCCTCCAGGTGCATGTTACATCTGTATATTTAACCTCCAATGCGTGCGTGAAATGTTGTAGTACCCTGGTATCCAAGGCCACACAACTAGAACACGTGATGCTAATTCGTTTTCTACCTGTTAAAACGTGTTGTGTGCACTAAGCGTGTATAACAGACAAAAACCAACACTCTGTGCTAGTCATGTGCTGGATACGGTCACGGCCAGTGATGCTATTGTATGTACATCACATGATTCTGTGAAGCATTCAATTTGTTCACGTGATATTTCAATCACGTTTTTGACAGACATAAAGCCAAGCTATCTACACGGGAGTAAAACATACCAAGTGATGACAAAGTTGTCTGTGGAAAGTCCCGATATAGAGCGTGAACTGGGCTTTTTATATATCATTCATAGGATTGGAAAATATCTTTCATAAAGGGGGTAAAACACCATTAACGAATCCTCTATATTGCGGTTATGTATAATTCTTTCCTAACAAGTTGTTGTACGTTATCACATCTATCTCACTTGAGTAATTTTGTATTATATTTCTTGACTTCCCCCTTATCACCGTATGTCGCGTAACTCCAGAGCTGTTACCTTACTCACATCTGAAACACTACAGATTTTATTAGGCTGTTAGCATGATTAAAGTTTCATATTACTGTAAGATTGCGCAGCTGTACTATGACGTATGGATTATTGTAGATCCCTGAACTCGGCGATCGTAGTTGGTTTTTGAGTCGCTTTTGCCGTCATGGAATGCTCTCGAGCAAGTCTAGCAAGGTTGTTTTAAGACTCTCCTTGAAATAAAGTTATGTTGTGTTATCAACGTAACCTTGTCCAGCGTATGTGTTCCTGTGTTCTTGTGAAGTGTTATTTAGGTGACTTTGTCCAGTGTACGTGTTCCTGTGTTTTTGTGATGTGATTTATTTACGTAACTTTGTCATGTGTACGTGTTCCTGTGTTTTTGTGAGTTGTAATTTACGTAACTTTGTCCAGTATATGTGTTCCTGTGGTCTTGTGGGGTGTTATTTACGTAACTTTGACCTGTGTCTGTGTTCTTGTGAGGTGTTATTTACGGTACTTTGTCCAGTGTACGAGTTCCTGTGGTCTTATGAGGTGATTTATTTACGTAACTTTGTCCAGTGTATGTGTTCCTGTGTTCTAGTGAGGTGTTATTTACCTAACCTTGTCCAGTGTATGTGTTCCTGTGTTCTAGTGAGGTGTTATTTACATAACTTTGTCCTGTGTATGTGTTTCTGTGTTCTTGTGAGTGGTTATTTACATAACTTTGTCCAGTGTATGTGTTCCTGTGGTCTTGTGAAGTGTTATTTACGTAACTTTCTCCTGTGTACGCGTTCCTGTGTTCTTGTGAGGTGTTATTTACGTAACTTTGTCCAGTGTACGTGTTCCTGTGGTTTTGTGAGGTGATTTAATTACGTAACTTTGTCCTGTGTGTATGTGTTCCTGTGTTCTTGTGAGGTGTTATTTACGTAACTTTGACCAGTGTACGTGTCCTGTGTTTTTGTGATGCGATTTATTTACGTAACTTTGTCATGTGTACGTGTTCCTGTGTTTTTGTGAATTGTTATTTACGTAACTTTGTCCAGTATATGTGTTCCTGTGGTCTTGTGGGGTGTTATTTACGTAACTTTGACCTGTGTCTGTGTTCTTGTGAGGTGTTATTTACGTAACTTTGTCCAGTGTACGTGTTCCTGTGGTCTTATGATGTGATTTATTTACGTAACTTTGTCCACTGTATGTGTTCCTGTGTTCTAGTGAGGTGTTATTTACGTAACTTTGTCCAGTGTATGTGTTCCTGTGTTCTTGCGAGGTGTTTTTTACGTAACTTTGTCCAGTGCATGTGTTCCTGTGTTCAAGTGAGGTGTTATTTACATAACTTTGTCCTGTGTATGTGTTCCTGTGTTCTTGTGAGGTGTTATTTACATGACTTTGTCCTGTGTGTGTGTTCCTGTGTTCTTGTGAGGTGTTGTTTACGTAACTTTGTCCTGTGTATGTGTTCCTGCGTTCGTGCGAGGTGTTTTTTACGTAACTTTGTCCAGTGAATGTGTTCCTGTGTTCAAGTGAGGTGTTATTTACGTTCCTGTGTTCTAGTGAGGTGTCATTTACATAACTTTGTCATGTGTACGTGTTCCTGTGTTCTTGCGAGGTGATTTTTACGTAACTTTGTTCAGTGCATGTGTTCCTGTGTTCAAGTGAGGTGTTATTTACATGACTTTGTCCTGTGTACGTGTTCCTGTGTTCTTGTGAGGTGTTGTTTACGTAACTTTGTCCAGTGTATGTGTTCCTGTGTTCTTGTGAGGTGTTATTTACATAACTTTGTCCTGTGTATGTGTTCCTGTGTTCTAGTGAGGTGTCATTTACATAACTTTGTCCTGTGTATGTGTTCCTGTGTTCTAGTGAGGTGTTATTTACATAACTTTGTCCAGTGTACGTGTTCCTTTCTTTTGAGGTGTTATTTACGTAACTTTGTCCAGTGTATGTGTTCCTGTGTTCTAGTGAGGTGCTATTTACGTAACTTCGTCCAGTGTACGTGTTCCTGTGTTCTTGTGTGGTGCTATTTACGTACCTTTGTCCAGTGTATGTGTTCCTGTGTTCTAATGAGGTGTTATTTACGTAACTTTGTCCAGTGTATGTGTTCCTGTGGTCTTGTGAGGTGATTTATTTGCATAACTTTGTCCTGTGTTCGTGTTCCTGTGTTCTTATGAGGTGATTTATTTACGTAACTTTGACCAGTGTATGTATTCCTGTGTTCTTGTGAGTTCCTGTGTTCTTGTGAGTTCTTATTTACATAACTTTGTCCTGTGTACGTGTTCCTGTGTTCTTGTGAGGAGTTTTTTACGTAAGTTTGTCCAGTGTATGTGTACCTTTGTTCTAGTGAGGTGTTATTTACGTAACTTTGTCCTGTGTACTTGTTCCTGTGTTCTAGTGAAGTGTTATTTACATAACTTTGTCCTGTGTACGAGTTCCTGTGTTCTAGTGAGGTGTTGTTTACGTAACTTTGCCCTGTGTTTGTGTTCCTGTGGTCTTGTGAAGTGTTATTTACGTAACTTTGTCCTGTGTGTATTTGTTTCTGTGTTCTTGTGAGGTGTTATTTACGTAACTTTGTCCTGTGTACGTGTTCCTGTGTTCTTGTGAGGTGTTATTTACGTAACTTTGTCCAGTGTATGTGTTCCTGTGGTCTTGTGAGGTGATTTAATTACGTAACTTTGTCCAGTGTATGTGTTTCGGTGTTTTTGTGATGTGATTTATTTACGTAACTTTGTCATGTGTACGTGTTCCTGTGTTCTTGTGAGGTGTTATTTACGTAACTTTGTCCAGTGTATGTGTTCTTGTGTTCTTGTGAGGTGTTGTTTACGTAATTTTGTCCAGTGTATGTGTTCCTGTGGTCTTGTGAATTGTTATTTACGTAACTTTGTCCTGTGTATATGTCTTACTGTGTTCTTATGAGGTGCTATTTACGTAACTTTGTCCTGTGTGTGTGTTCCTGTGTTCTTGTGAGGCGTTATTTACGTAACTTTGTCCAATGTATGTGTTCCTGTGTTCTTGTGGGGTGTTATTTACGTAACTTTTTTCTTGTGTACGTGTTCCAGTGTTCTTGTGAGGTGTTATTTACGTAACTTTGTCAAGTGTACGTGTTCCGGTGTTCTTGTGAGGTGTTATTTACATAACTTTGTTCAGTGTATTGGTTCCTGTGTTCTTGTGAGGTGTTATTTACGTAACTTTGTCCAGTGTATGTGTTCCTGTGTTCTTGTGGGGTGTTATTTACATAACTTTGTCATGTGTGTGTGTTCCTGTGGTCTTGTGAGGTGTTATTTACGAAATTTTTGTCCTGTGTGTGTGTTCCTGTGGTCTTGTGGGGTGTTATTTACGTAACTTTTTCATGACATTGTGTGTGTGTTCCTGTGTTCTTGTGAGGTGTTATTTACATAACTTTGTCCAGTGTACGTGTTCCTGTGTTCTAGTGAGGTGTTATTTACATACCTTTGTCCAGTGTATGTGTTCCTGTGTTCTTTTGAGGTATTATTTACATAACTTCGTCCAGTGTGCGTGTTCCTGTGGTCTTGTGAGGTGATTTATTTACGTAACTTTGTCCTGTGTGTGTGTTCCTGTGTTCTTGTGAGGTGTTATTTACATAACTTTGTCCTGTGTGTGTGTTCCTGTGGTCTTGTGAGGTGATTTATTTACGTAACTTTGTCCTGTGTGTGTGTTCCTGTGTTCTTGTGGGGTGTTATTTACGTAACTTTTTCATGACATTGTTTGTGTGTTCCTGTGTTCTTGTGAGGTGTTATTTACATAACTTTGTCCAGTGTACGTGTTCCTGTGTTCTAGTGTGGTGTTATTAACGTAACTTTGTCCAGTGTATGTGTTCCTGTGTTCTAGTGAGGTGTTATTTACGTAACTTTGTCCAGTGTATGTGTTCCTGTGGTCTTGTGAGGTGATTTATTTGCATAACTTTGTCCTGTGTGTGTGTTCCTGTGTTCTCGTGAGGTGATTTATTTACGTAACTTTGACCAGTGTATGTATTCCTGTGTTCTTGTGAGGTGTTATGTACGTATATGTAACTTTGTTCAGTGTATGTGTTCTTGTGGAATGTTATAAATCCAGTCGGACTTGACTTTGATATTAGCACAAAAGAACATAAACGACCTGATTTGCATGCTTATCATACCCATGTTCGCCACATCCTCGTTGCTTTCAATACTTTTCTCCATTCCCCATGCTTTCTTCAATTGATCGTAGGACAAACGCACAATCGGTCATTTTTATTAGATTCCATAGATACAAATGTTTTATTCCATCGAATCCTGGTAATTTTACAATGGTTCAGCATGGCGGTGTGTATCATGTATGTTTCAAAACAGCTATTGTTGTAAGATGGGTCATGTTTTCCTTTTTAATTTTGTGTTCTATCGGTTTATCAAACCCACTACATTCTGTCGTTTATGAACTAAGCTGTATTGTTTTTTTCATGATGATAGTACAACTCACCAATTCACAGGCGCTGCAATTCCTTTTATGCTGAACTGCTTTATATCTGTATTTTTTTTATCATTTCCTTTCCCTCTCCATCCTGAAAATAGACCCAATCTGTGTAAAATACTTTGCAGCTGCTAAGTCCTTGACGGTGTACTGTCGACGCGAAGCTGGATTCGGGTAAAACGCAGTTTCGCTGTCCTTACCGCGACCAAGAGAGAGAACAGGCCTTGTACAAAATATTGGGATTACAATAAAATACGACGTCTTGCCTCATTGACCGCTGATGAAAGAAAGGAATTTGAAAATAGACTTTCACTAATTAACATTGGAAAAACACCTTCAATACAGGAATGCTCAAATTGTTCCTCGTTTGGCATGTAGGCGGATTCTAAAGTGATACGTTACATATGCTTCACGCGGGAAACCGTTTGAATTTTGCCGCTACTGCCTGAAAAGTTGGAATTCAGGATGTTCAACCAATTGCGGCATTGCATCGTGCACGGAAGAGCTTTGAAAAAGACCGTCGGATTAGATAGAAGTCCATCAATACGCGCTTGTCCTAATTGTGGATTGCTGATCGAGCACAAACAAGCATGTAAACAAATGACATGCTGCGGATGCGATCAGAAATTCTGTTTCATATGTCTGAAGAAAGCAAATTCTACAGGGGAGTACGTATACTAGTGTGGAAGTTTCAGGTCCCATTGTGAAATAGCAAATATCCAGACTGCTATCGGCCGAGCCGCACAAAACGTCACCTACCAACCTACACAAAACACAGGTTCCTCTTGTAACTTGGTCCGAACGATTACAGGGTCTAGCTTTTACAGAACATGACATCTGAACGAACACAAAGGACAAAGTGATATTTTGTGTATGCTATATAGTGTCCATCACTACACTCACGATGCTATACGATATTTTGGATCACCGTATTATGACTTTTGTATTATAATCAAATTGACTACCAGTATCCCTATGGGGTTTAACAGGAACCAATTACACTTCTGTACTACCGTGTTATCGCTTGTTTGAGTTTGAGAAAATTCTGTTTGCCGCCAATTCAACGGATAAGGACACTGTGATGTTTACAACTGTGTGTGCATTCAACAAATAGCCATTGAGAACTTAAATGTGTTGCTTTCTCTGTTCGTTCTATGCCAGAGTCACATTTCGATAGAATGCGTTTAATTTGTAGCCTCGCTACTTCTACCATCAAAGCTATTTTCCCCTATTTGTGACCAATACCTCTATTTGACTCCCTAGATATAACATCAGCAAATCTACAAACACGTGGGGGCAGTATATCCAGGTTTCACTGCACATAATGGCTCTTCCTATATATAGTATACATTGTTGTGGGATGGGCTTATATTTTGAAATATAAATAACACCCCACCTCAGACCAAGATTTACCTGTGCATTCATGACCTTAACACAATAACCTGTCAAATCATTCTTAAAATTTTCATATTGATATCAGGTGAGCCAATACTCATATCGGAAACATGGGAAGTTCTATCGTTTAATGGAGGTGATCATCTATGAACAGGTGTATGATGTACTGAATACACCTGGTCAGTGAACAGATTGAACCAACTGAAAACGATGCAAGTTGTTAAACTTGTGCCCAACTCCCATCGTATATAAATTACAATAAAATATCTTTAAAACAAACACGAAAACGAATGGATCGCCGGAAAAATACAAGTAAGGGTCAACGTAAAAGGTAATTTTGGTCTTACCATACCTGTTTCTTAAAGCATCACCCAAACGCATTATCCCATATACTCTAAATTATACAAATCATATATATTTCAAACCGTTATGCTGCTTTAGATTAATAAGAATAAAAAAATAATTAGAAAAGATTTAAGTGTTAGGGATAAGAAGTACATAAAGCGATTTCTCTTGAAAATATCTAAACGACTGACTTACGGAATGATACGTAATAGTTTAAACAAACGGTTATATTATCCCTTTTAAATAGAAGCAATCAACTAAACCACTAACTGGTGTCCATATAAGTTTTGGTTTTTATAATTATTTCTCTCTCTCGTAATTTTGCAGACGTGTGATATCAATTTGTGACAATGTACTTCAATTTAAATTTGTTTAATTCTATATCTTGTATCCCAAATTAGAAAGTTTGTTTATTTATAGCTGTTTGAAAGTACATACTGTACTTGCTCAGCAAAGTATTGAACTCGGGTGACATTTTATAACCAATTTAATAGTTTATTTGGTTAAAAGATTGAAGTGCGTGAACACTTAAACATAATGGCCTAGAGAGGCGATGATAGCTCGTTTGTGATTGGCTGAAATCCAAGAAGGATTTATCATGTCATCGGTAGAAGCCATACAGAAAGGCTGTTACTATTAGTCCAATGGCTGCATTGATATTTAACACCGTTGACCACCTCTTGTTCTCCTTCAGAAATCTCCTTGTCTGGGTCTCGTCAGTGCTTGGACTGGTCGCGCCGGAACTATCGTCAGGCATTCCACAAACAAAGTTACAGGCACGCTTTGCACATCCGACCGTTCTTTCATTCCCATCATCCGGTTCAGCTATTTGCACACCTGATATAAGAAGAGTCACAAACAGGTATAGAACTTGTTACCAGTAGCTTTTAAAAGATAAACATTCTTTATTTTACAACAATTATGAAACCGGTTATTACAACTGATATTAATCACGCTTGTTGGCACCACCCGACCGCCTAGAGATGAGGTGTAGCTTTTACATGATAGCTGCTAAATGCATTACATTATGACTATCTTAGGGACAGTTTTAGATATTCAGAATAAGGTGCTTTAAGGACGAATTGAGAATTACGTTCCAAACAGCATGTTTACACTCTATAATCAGTAAAACACATTCTACATCATACTCATTTGACTGAAATTCAAGGATATAGTAAGCAACATTTCGTACTGAGTAATGTGCACACTACATTAGTACTATACCAGTACACTATCAGGGTTGTTATTATAAACAGTGTTGACGAATACAACGCAGTGACGACTCGGAGAATTGTATGGGGGTAAGTAACAGGGTTTATTAATAGAAAATGTTGGCAGAGTAGGAGTGTCCTTAACCCTCCAAATCTTCAATGGAATTATAACAATTGAGTTCATAATGTAACGGTCTTACTTTTAAACGCTGACTACGGAACATGAGTTTAGAACATTTACACTTTAAACGCAGTAGAAATTTCTGTAATAGTTTCCTGTTATATAGTGTAGTGTCACAAATCACACTGGACATCATACCATTACTAGCCGGACGGTTATCCTTTGCCTGCTCGGTGTCACTGTCAGTAGAGTGGTCTCCCTTGTCTTCAGGTTTCATTCTGGTCCACCACGTCACTCCCACAAGCTACAATTAGAACAAACCCGTACCTAATATTGTTCTGCTTTAACCGGCAAGGGAAGTTGAAACAAACATTAACGGGATTGGTTTGTTTTAAAGGCGTCATTTCAGAACTATATCTTCTATGTTGTACAATAAATGAAGCTCCATAGTAAACATGTGAATCAAATGAACCAAACCAGACAAAAAATACCAAAAGATGAATTAGGAATAAATAAAAATATTCCACTTCTTACCTCCTCCTCTTCCTGTGGACGTGTAGCCAGACTTATTATGATGATAGCAGCAGAGGTGACGACGATCATAATGGAGCCGAAGTATGTGTAATGAACCCTTAGGAGTACCGGCGGACGAGTTTCCGGATCTCCGCACTCAGGCGCTGGGTAGGCAAAGTCTAACGCCATCCGTATCACTCCGCACATATGCCCGATGATAATACCCCAGAATGCTCCCTGTGGATGTAAATAACAACTGCATTCAAACAAAGTTTTTGTATTTGTAAGTTCAACAGAAAACAATAAAAGTGTTTCTCGAAAAATATAGACATTAAATGTTATTTTTTAATCTTAACGTAACAATAATAGTCAAGGTAAGGTTGACGATTTAAGATTCTCCAAATACAGCTTCGTACCTGTTCATTCATTCGTTTCCAGAAAACGCCCAAGACAAACAGTGCTCCGATCGGCGTGCCCAGGTAGCCCTGAATGGACTGGATGTAGTTAAAGAGTTGTCCTCCTTGTGATGATCTAACGAGGGGAATCCATGCAATACTGATACCACACAGGATTACAATGAAGATCCTACAAATGATATTTTTAGAATAGGATCATCGTAATAGACAGATGAAAGTTAAGTGTTTGATAAGGCAGCAGGTCATATTTTGTTTCTTCAATGTTTGTCAAACAGAATACAATGTTTGTCAAACAGAAAATACACAAGAAAACCCAAAATCTGCAGTGGTCCCAAGTTACTCGCCTCTTATGACAACAGTGGACAACAATGAACATGCAGTTGGACAAAACAGGACCATTCTGTCCCCAAACCCACAGGGTTACATACCATAATGAAGCAAACTAAATGTGTTAATGGTGTAACAAGTTAGGTTACCACACCTGCCCACGATGAGGAGTTCCCGCTGTGTGGCCCTCGGTCGGGCTCTGCGCCACAGGTCCATAGTGAATATTGTACTGGAACTGTTAAAGATGGAGGTCAGGGAGCTCATGATGGCCGACAGCATGACTGCCATCAACAGGCCACGCACACCTAGGGATAAAGGTCAGAGCAAAATAAGAAGCGTTGTTCTTAATCTATAAAGAATTCGATGAAGTAATTATCGTTAATTCAAATACATTTGATTTTATGTATTTAAAATCGTTACACATAGCGTTGCATCTATAACTTTTTAATGTTTTGAATATATATACACACTGTCAACTAGTTGGTTCAGATGTAAGGCCAGAAGTACAGAGTGACAGGAAAATGATCAGCGGAAGTAGGACCTGATAACTTGACAATCCATCCATGTAATACATGATCAAGCAACATAACACACATGGAGGCACGCCCTTAAATGACCTTCGCTGTTGATAGGACGTTAAACCCTGAACAACCAACAGACCAACAAGCTACCCCCATATACTACGCTATCCCACCAGTAAGTATCAGAGACAGGATGATGATGTACAGCCATAGTGGTAATTTGTTAGTCTATAGGTAAAGGAGATAGATAAGCAGTACAGAGCTAGAGCAGCACATCACCTGACTCTTACGAATCAACTGAAATAAAGTTTTTTTTATTTTTATTTTTCTGACATTGTATAATGTCTTTGAGTACAGTACATGTGTTTTTGAGATTTGGTTTTATTGATTTTGTTATAAATGTCATAGTTACCAGTTGTAATCATTTAAGGGCGTAACTCAATCTGGCCGTAGTCTGTTGGCCCATCGTATAGCATGGTTACCCGGTCACATGACACAGACAACGAGTTTACTAGCTGTTGTAATTACCGGAAATGCTAAATGTTAAACAGTACTTTGATATGTCCATGACTGGGGACACACCCCATTGCCTTCCTCACTTGAGTGGACGTTCTGCACTAATGCTGAAATAAGGCATTGCCAAGCAAGGTGCTAAGAAACACAAAGATAGTTTGGAAGAGCAGAGAAAATATGAATATCCCAAGTGTTGAAAGGAGTGCAGCAGATTTATTTCGGTCACTTTTGTGTCCCCAATTAGAGGGTACAAAAGCAAATCCCAAATTCTGCCAGGGGTTCAACTCTCATCAGGTGCCTCTTACAGCTTTAGTGGGTAACAGCATTTTCTTTTCTCAATCCCCGACCTGCAGTTCATTTGAATATATCTGCAATTAATTGTTTCATTGACTTAGAACTGCATAAGATTTGCTTGACGTAAGCTTACCAAAGGGGAGTAACTCCAATACCAACTTGGGGTAGGCTATGTTTGAACAGCCAGCCGGGTTGTCGCAAACCTCCCTGCAAATGTCTGGGTCTACGCACGCAACCTCGTCTGTGAAAAAAAAGGAACAAACAGTTTTATGTCATGAAATGGCATATTGCACACGCTTGGATCATTAGAAAAGGTGTAAAATTAATATTTCAAATAATATTGCATTCTTGACATACTATTTAGTTAGTGTACTTGTCTCGATATCAAAACTTACAAACACCAGTAACACTTGTGAATTAAACGTTGAAATTTTAGGTTACTGTTACGAAAAAAGGAGGATGTTTTCATCCTTACCTGGGAACAGAGCTCGACTAATCATCCCCGGGAAGATCATAAGGAAGATCGGCAGTAGTTTGAGGTAGCCGGCCATGATTGATCCCCCTTTGGCGTGAGACAGGTTCTTGGCCGCTAGAGTGCGCTGGACTATAACCTGGAATGACGCAGCATGGGGGACTTGTGATGAACAATTACAATGGGTTTCACCCAGGTGAATGACAAAGAATACCAACTATATAACATATATTAAGTGTGATGACATGCCGATAAATATCGCAAAATTAAATATCAAGTTATTGAGGTAGCACTAGTTAAGTAGAAACAAATATGTTTATCCACAACGGATAGTTTCCGCGTTTAGATCCTCTCATTCACTCGTCATCGTCATTTTCTTGATATACTCTCCTCCTCGCCCTGTAGTATAGTTACCATGTGTCTAACATTTAAGCATACCGACCATGTTAAGGGTGCAGAGCCAAGATAACAATTTATATTTAAAAAATATAACGTCCCTACCCATTCCAGTTGACTGTAGTCGACCTTTTAAGCATTACCTGATCACAGCACCAGTACCAGAGACAGCCTATGGAGCTCTGAAGTAACAGTCCCGGCCATGGATTGTCTCCCGTGATCGGATCCCTGAAGATGTGGAAAGCGTCATCACGCGGGAGACCGCACGTGCTGTTGGGCTCGCGCACTGAGGGCACCGCCTCCATATATAACCGCTGCAGGTTGTTATACCCTCCGATCTTGTTAAAACCTTATTTTTTACAAGTGTTAAAAATCATTCGAAAATCATTTTCATGTTTAGTGATAAGTAAAAGTCTCAGGACAAATGCGTTACAGTGCAATAAAACTCGTCTTAATGACACTGATTTGAATGTTATTGCAACAACGTAAATGTTATTACAACTTTTCGTATATACAACTTAATTTTAAACTAGAATGTATCTAAACAAAAATTAGAGTTGAATATAAAAGGATTTAAAATTATCATCTAATGACAACAAGCACATTTTTGTTATTTTAAAGTTGCGTTAACGACACATTAAGGCTATCTTGGTTTGAACAACCAGGCCATGAAGAGATAAGCGTTTCCAAAGGATAAACTAAACACACAGTCGTTGAGCATTTTTTTAGAATCATCCGACGGTACTTAAGCTGGAAATCAAAGATAAGGAATCACAGAGTTGGTTGGTTTCTAGACTTACTTATGCCCACCAATGCCAAGGCACCAATGGTCATGACTCCGGTCTGGAAGGTGTCGGTGTAGATGACGGCGGCCAGTCCACCTGTAGGGGACACAGACAATCAATGTTATTACTAGTGTCCTTGTGGCATTAAATATGTTTAAATGAAAACAGAAATGTTAGTTAATATATAATGCAATCAAGGGCTGTGCAATACATGTCTAATGTTTCTCCTGTAGAAAATATACAATCGTAGAAAAATCAATAGAATGGCAGAAATATACATGGAATAAAAGTTAAATGATAGACAAGTTACAGATACAAATGCAAATAAGTTAAGACTACTTACCGAGTATGGTATAAATTGCTGTTACCCCCAGCAAAGCCACGATACTGAGGTACATGTCCCAGCCCAGAGCCAGCTGTATGAATAACGCCCCGGCAAATATACTCACCTATAAAACACAAGGAAACTAATATAGAAGGTAGCAGACACAAGCATGTACGTTCTCGTGTGTAAGACCAATATATACTCACTTGTAAAACAATTAGTTTACATTTATCATCCCTATTTCCATCGCCCTTTCATATTTCCTACTGCTGGAGAGAAAGGTCATGTTACTATCATAATGTGATAATAAATAGTACTATAATGTTAGTCATATCCAATAAAACACGCCTCCAACAAGACACTCTTCAATCGAACCTGTGAATTTGTTTAGTCAACCAACGTTGCCACCAACCCTTTCAAACGCGCCCAATACTCACGGCCAACTTGGTGATGATATATAATATGAGGGCCAGCACACTGAGATAGATCCGGATCCGATAACCACCGAACCGCTTCTCCATGTACTCCGGGAGGGTGTATACCTGTGTGACGTCATACAAAGAGTGTTATTGGAACATTTGTGTGGGGAAGGGTGCTATTTATGTTGCAGATTTGATCAAGTAAGCAAAGTATCGCGGGAAAATACTCTCAATAAACTAGGTAAATTGTCAATGATAACAGCCTTGGTGTGGGAAGGTTTTACTCAACAGTGCGGTCGTATAAAGAAAAGTCACTTAATTAAAACATCAAAACCGAATGATGCATTACATTTTACATGAAAAACGAGCATGCTTTTAACAGAAGTTGACGAATACTTTGCACGAACCGAAGTCGACGAGGGACTTAGTTTGTCAGATATATAGCAGGAAACTTAGTTCGCCAGATATATAAGAAGAGACTTAGTTTGTCAGATATATAACAGTAGACTTAGTTTGTCAGATATATAGAAGGAGACTTAATTTGTCAAATATATAACAATAGACTTAGTTTGTCAGATATATAGAAGGAGGCTTAGTTTGTCAAATATATACCAGTAGACTTAGTTTGTCAGATATATAGCAGGAGACTTAGTTTGTCAGATATATAGCAGGAAACTTAGTTTAACAAATGTATAGCAGGAGACTATGTTTGTCAAATATACAGCAGGAGACTAACATGAACTTTACAAACATGTTGAGAAACTAACAGCGGCGAATAAATGGTGATATACTTACCCCGGCGGATATGTGGAGATATATTTACCCTGGCAGATATGTAGTGAGATACATACACCGGCGGATATGTAGTGAGATACTTACACCAGCGAATATGTAGAGGGATATTTACCCTGACGGATATGTAGAGAAATACTTACACAGGCGGATATGTGGAGATAGACTTACACCGGCGGATATATTAGAGTTAATAGAATCTTTCACCCCCTTGGGGGTGAGATAGGAGAATCTCAACCCGAGGGGAAGGATTCTTAAGTTGCCAAACACGAGGCTTTGCCGAGTGTTTGGCAACTTAAGAATCTTTCCCCGAGGTTTGTGATTCCCCTCTCTCACCCCCAAGGGGGTGAATGCTTCTTTTTCTCTTACCCTGTTCTCACATTGTGTATCAAACACACAATGTAATGATAACGTTACATGCTAAATTCAGGGTTGACGTGACGTTGATGGATTGTTGACGTGACGTTGATGGATTGATGACGTGACGTCATTGTATTGTTGACATGACGTCATTTTATTGTTGAAGTGACGTCATGCCATTGTCATGAATAGGGGAATCTCCCCGTCTCAACCCTAGGGTGAGACAATGAATTATCTTACCCTGGACAGGGATACCCACCATTTTACCGGTGTGAAATTTTCTTTTCTCTTACCCTGAACAGGTTATCCGCACTTTTACCGGTGTGAGATTAATAGAATCTTTCACCCCCCTTGGGGCTGAGACAGGGTAATCTCACCCCGAGAGGTAAGGTTCTTAAGCTGTCAAACACGAGGCTTGCCTGTCTCCCTCCCAAGGGGGTGAATGATTATTACAGAAGTATGCGTCCAATATATCTTCCGGGGTAATGATGATGTCGTGATTATTTTAATGATAATAGTACACGGCTGGTCCTATGACGTGAACATGTAGATGTGATAGTTATAATGCCTAGCGTTTATAACTATCACATCTACATGTTCACGTCATAGGACCAGCCGTGTACTATGACGTGAACATGTAGATGTGATAGTTATAAACGCTAGGCATTATAACTATCACATCTACATGTTCACGTCATAGTACACGGCTGGTCCTATGACGTGAACATGTAGATGTGATAGTTATAAACGCTAGGCATTATAACTATCACATCTACATGTTCACGTCATAGGACCAGCCGTGTACTATTATCATTAAAATAATCACGACATCATCATTACCCCGGAAGATATATTGGACGCATTAATCATTCACCCCCTTGGGAGTGAGACAGGCAAGCCTCGTGTTTGACAACTTAAGAACCTTACCTCTCGGGTTGAGATTACCCTGTCTCACCCCCAAGGGGGGTGAAAGATTCTATTAATCTCACACCGGTAAAAGTGCGAATACACCTGTCCAGGGTAAGATAAATACTCGCCCCGTCGGATATGTAGAGACATACTTACATCAGCGGATATGTAGAAAGATATTTACCCCGGAAGATATATTGGACACATACTTCTGTACCCCGGCGGATATGTAGAGACATACTCACGCCGGCTGATATGTAGAGACATACTCACCCCGGCGGATATGTAGAGACATACTCACCCCGGCGAATATGTATACACATACTCACCCCGGCGGATATGTAGATATATACTCACCCCGGCGGATATGTAGAGATATACTCACCCCAGCGGATATGTATAGACATACTCACCCCGGCGGATATGTAGAGATATACTCACCCCATCGGATATGCAGAGACATACTCACCCCGGCTGATATGTAGAGACATACTCACCCCGGCGGATATGTATAGACATACTCACCCTGGCGGATATGTAGAGATATACTTACCCCAGCGGATATGTAGAGAGATACTTACACCGGCGGACATGTAGAAAGATATTTACCCCGGAAGATATATTGGACGCATACTTCTGTACCCCGGCGGATATGTAGAGACTAATAGAATCTTTCACCCCCTTGGGGGTGAGACAGGGTAATTTCAAGCCGAGGGGTAAGATTCTTAAGTTGTCAAACACGAGGCTTGCCGAGTGTTTGACAGCTTAAGAATCTTACCCCGAGGGTTGAGATCACACCGTCTCACTCCCAAGGGGGTGAATGATTATTTTTCTCTTACCCTGTGCTTACCCTCTTATGTATTTTATATAGACGTTACATCAATGCAAGACAATGTTGATGTGATGGGGCTGAATTGTCGACGTGACGTCATTGTATTGTTGCCGTGACGTCATGGTATTGTTGTTATGACGTCATACAATTGTTGAGAACGTGTAAAGAACACGTGTAGCTTGTCTCAAACCTAGGGTGAGATTAATAGAATATTTCACCCCCTTGGGGGTGAGATAGGAGAATCTCAACCCGAGGGGGTAAAAGCCTCGTGTTTGACACTTAAGAATCTCTCCCCGAGGGTTGAGATTCCACTATCTCACCCACAAGGGGGTGAATGATTCTTTTTCTCTTACCCTGTTCTTTCATTGTGTATCATATGCACAATGTAATGATAACGTTACATGCTAAATTCATGGTTGACGTGACGTTGAATGGATTGTTGACGGGACGTCATTGTATTGTTAAAGTGACGTCATGCCATTGTTAGGAATAGGGGAATCCCCCCGTCTCAACCCTAGGGGGAGACAAGGAAATCTCACACCGGTAAAAATGCGTATACACCTGTCCAGGGTAAGAGAAAAGAAAATCTCACACCGGTAATATGGTGGATATCCCTGTCCAGGGTAAGAGAAATACTCATCCCGGCGGATATGTAAGGATATACTCACCCCGGCGGATATGTAGAGACATACTCACCCCGGCGGATATGTAGACAGGTAGGAAGAACCAGCCCAGCAGCAGGACCAGCGGCATACTCTGGAACAGACGTTAAAGCATACAACATGTACATCTCACAATACGTACAACATTACACGTCTGTTGATGTATAGACACAGACATACATACAGTACAGTGTGGGTTATACCCGACGAAATTATTACAAAACCTGATGACATACAGGCATTAAAAAAAAAACGAGCAAAACGAATATCTGACATTTTGATCATAATTTTTATTTTTACAGTTAAATTCTTATCGGCAGTACCATTACAGGTTACTTGCCAAAAGCCTACATATCGTGAAAAATGCATTAACTGGAAACTCAATTCCAAAGTCTTGTTTGGTCTTCCTGTTAAATGGTAAAGCGCAAAGAGGTCCAGGTGTACATGTTTATTCTTACTGAATGTGTCCCATTTGTGATCATAATCTCAACCACCACACCTACTGTTATAAAACACGGACTTTCAACTTCAACTTATGGTCATACGTCGCGCCATCAATTAAATTTGTAGTATTATAGAATATTTTGAAATTCTGTATTTAAAGTCTCTGTTAACATTTCTTCTTGCTTTAACTCATTGTTTACCACCATTCATCCTCGTTTTAAAACGAAATAACGCCGTAAAGTTTATGGTTGTATTAATAGTGGCGGACTTCACTGGCAATCGGTGACACATACATTTAGCTTGTTATACTCGGAACACCTCTTGAACAGTCAAGAGAAGTTATGTCATCTGTATGACGGGGATACTTACAAACCATTCGTAGGAGATCATGGCTATTCCAGCAGCCGCCCCCGTGCCGGCTAGTCCAACAAAGTGTTCACTGCCGATGTTACTGGAGAACAGGGATGCACCCACCTGTAATGATACAGTTATCACGTGTTTTACTCGTGTAATTAAACTGAGTATGGTAGTGTTCATATGATACATGACATTCTTTATACATTTCTTTAAAGTTAGATTCTTACTTCAGGAAAACAAACATTTGCCTGTATTGTTTAGCTTTTGTGATAATAAGGAGTAGATATTTACCATTAACTTTATGTTTGGAATCATTTTGAAGTTGAGTGACAAAGTCAAGAAATTTTAAATCAAAATAATGTTAATGCGTATAAGAGTATGTATAACTTTGTCAGCAAAACAACTGTACCGGCCACCAAGAGATGTTGCGCCCCGCCAGGAAGTAGCTATTGACGTCATTCCGGTTCCGGCGAAACACCGTCTGTAATTAATTGAAGCAGAACTGTTTCAGTGATTCGTTACTTTCGAGGTGTACTGTATCAATATACCAAGGTTTCCCGGGCTATGCTACGTAAAATTCTCATGAAAGTTTGACTGTCTTCCACAATTCAAAAAACATAGCTTGGGAAGAATCGTAATTCGATTCGCGGGAAATGGCATCTTATAATGGGCCCAGTCTAATGTTAACTTCACAACACCAACTTACATAGACTTAGTCAAAGATTTGTTTTAGACAGCTAATTAGCATGGCTTTAATGTTTGCTTTGTGGCAGTAACACGTGAAACAGAGGACCAGTATAGGCTAATTTTAGATTAATAACAGCTACAATGTTCTGATCATGGACTCGGTGTATACCTGGCCTACCTGTGTTTTGAATCTATTTCTACAGGTGATATTTATGGCAGCTTAAGATTGAAAATAAAAATGTATTGCTTCTATTTATCTGTTAAATAATGTTATACTGCCCAAAATCAATGAAAACCCTTTTTTACTTTAAAACAAATAATAACAGATTGTCCTCTTACATTTGAATTCAGGCGAGAGTGGCAATGTACTTATGGTCTCCTCTCGTGTTGTAAATAACGGGCTGTATCAGTGGCTTTGGCACTCGTAAGCACTAACACAAGAATCTTTCACTAACAAAGTATTAACATTTACTTAGAAGCTTTAATTCAATCCGATCGTAAATAAAGTAGGTTTGTGTGGCGTTCTGCTGGTCCCGCGCGATCTTATCTTCCCTCGCAGGACGTACCGCAGGATGGCATACACTAAAACATTGTCTTGTATTTATGGTAAGGTTTGGAGTGGTCTGGTCCGAGTTTTATTATAGATCTGGTATCGTGTGGTCCTCAAGGCTGGTCTCTTGGTGAGGTCCTGTGAGTCTGATCTCAGGCATTAGCCTGGTCTAGTATCCTTTATAAGCGCGCATACAAATCACTTGTTTCAACGGCTCCTCTTGCTGTGAGACACACAGTTGCAGATGCCACGGAAATGGGGTGTTGTTTTTGTTTTGAATTCTTCAACAACTACCCGTCCCAATGGGTTTACTTCTTAGTGTATACATTTAGAGATATTATGTTGATAATGATTTAATCGTTTGTCTTGCTTACTACTCCACAGCACGCCACACTATAAACTTACCTAGTTCGGATGGCATTCGATGTGCTGGACCACGTGTTCTAAACGTTTGGCTTATTTTGGTTTAACGTCCTATTAACAGCTTGTGCGCAGTGTATGCGTGCATGCGTGTGTGTATGCATGTGACATGGTAAGTTGTTGTGCTTGCCTCCTTGTAATAGCACGGATATGTACCAACTTTAAAGTGCCATCTCACTAAAATGCCATGCCGAAGGCACCCAGCACAGCATTCCGTCCAGTCACATTATACTGACAACGGGTGACCCAGGTGTTGCCTCTCCCTGAACGTTAAGCAGGGAATAGCAACTACCATTTTAAAGGCCTGGTGACAGAACCCATTGCCTTCCTCACCTGGGCAAACGTGTTAACGTCATTATTGTCATGACGTCATATTTGTAACGTTAGATACCACTGACCCTCGTCGGAAGATGGCTGTTCAATTCATTGAAAAAGCATAAACGATACATATTTTTATGCTTATGATGAATTTTGATAAGCTTATTTGAATTCATATGACATTTGAATACTCAATATGGTAAATATAAGCACTCAACTGTGTTCATATGGCATTTACGGTTTAGTTAAATTACACTGATTTGCAAAGTATAATGCCTAGCGTTTATAACTATCACATCTACATGTTCACGTCATAGGACCAGCCGTGTACTATTATCATTAAAATAATCACGACATCAGTTATATCAATGTGAACTTTAAATTTGAAGGTTAGAAAAAAAGAGAGACCAGACCACGAGGTCAAACCGTACCAGACCACGAGGTCAAACCGTACCAGACCACTGAGACTAGAACAAGGGGTCAAACGGGACAACACCACTCAGACCATATCAAGAGGTCAAACCGGACCAAGCCTCTGGGACTAGAACAAGGGGTCAAACCGGACAAGACCACAAAGACCAAAACAGGGGGTCAAACCGGAAAAGACCAGTGAGATCAGAACAATGGGTCAAACCGGACAAGACCAGTGAGATCAGAACAATGGGTCAAACCGGACAAGACCATTGAGATCAGAACAATGGGTCAAACTGGACAAGACCACTGAGATCAGAACAATGGGTCAAACCGGACAAGACCACTGAGACTAGAACAAGGGGTCAAACCGGACAAGACCACTGAGACTAAAACAAGGGGTCAAACCGGGCAAGACCACTGAGATCAGAACAATGGGTCAAACCGGACAAGGCTACTGCGACCAGAACAAGGGGTCACACCGGACAAGACTACTGAGATCAGAACAAGGGGTCAAACCGGACAAGACCAGTGAGATCAGAACAATGGGGCAAACCGGACAAGACCATTGAGATCAGAACAAGGGGTCAAACCGGACAAGACTACTGAGATCAGAACAATGGGTCAATCCGGACAAGACCACTGAGACTAGAACAAGGGATCAAACCGGACAAGACCACTGATACTAGAACAAGGGGTCAAACCGGGCAAGACCACTGAGATCAGAACAATGGGTCAACCCGGACAAGACCACTGAGACTAGAACAAGGGGTCAAACCGGGCAAGACTACTGCGACCAGTACAAGGGGTCAAACCGGACAAGACTACTGCGACCAGCACAAGGGGTCAAACCGGACAAGACTACTGCGACCAGCACAAGGGGTCAAACCGGACAAGACTACTGCGACCAGCACAAGGGGTCAAACCGGACAAGACTACTGCGACCAGAACAAGGGGGCAAACCGGACAAGACCACTGTGACCAGAACAAGAGGTCAAACCGGACAAGACCACTGTGACCAGAACAATGGGTCAAACCGGACAAGACCACTGCGACCAGAACAAGGGGTCAAACCGGCCAAGACTACTGCGACCAGAACAAGGGGTCAAACCGGGCAAGACTACTGAGACCAGAACAAGGGGTCAAACCGGACAAGACTACTGAGATCAGAACAATGGGTCAATCCGGACAAGACCACTGAGACTAGAACAAGGGATCAAACCGGACAAGACCACTGATACTAGAACAAGGGGTCAAACCGGGCAAGACCACTGATACTAGAACAAGGGGTCAAACCGGACAAGACCACTCAGATCAGAACAATGGGTCAAACCGGACAAGACTACTCAGATCAGAACAATGGGTCAACCCGGACAAGACTACTGCGACCAGAACAAGGGGTAAAACCGGACAAGACCACTGAGATCAGAACAATGGGTCAACCCGGACAAGACTACTGCGACCAGAACAAGGGGGCAAACCGGACAAGACCACTGTGACCAGAACAAGGGGTCAAACCGGAGAAGACCACTGTGACCAGAACAAGGGGTCAAACCGGAAAAGACCACTGTGACCAGAACAAGGGGTCAAACCGGAAAAGACCACTGTGACCAGAACAAGGGGTCAAACCGGAGAAGACCACTGTGACCAGAACAAGGGGTCAAACCGGAGAAGACCACTGTGACCAGAACAAGGGGTCAAACCGGGCAAGACCACTGAGATCAGAACAATGGGTCAACCCGGACAAGACCACTGAGACTAGAACAAGGGGTCAAACCGGGCAAGACTACTGGGACCAGAACAAGGGGTCAAACCGGACAAGACTACTCAGATCAGAACAATGGGTCAACCCGGACAAGACTACTGCGACCAGAACAAGGGGTCAAACCGGACAAGACTACTCAGATCAGAACAATTGGTCAAACCGGACAAGACTACTGAGATCAGAACAAGGGGTCAAATCGGACAAGACCACTGAGATCAGAACAATGGGTCAAACCGCGCAAGACTACTGCGACCAGAACAAGGGGTCAAACCGGGCAAGACCACTGATATCAGAACAATGGGTCAAACCGGACAAGACTACTTCGACCAGAACAAGGGGTCAAACCGGACAAGACCACTGAGATCAGAACAATGGGTCAAACCGGACAAGACTACTGAGATCAGAACAAGGGGTCAAACCGGACAAGACCACTGAGATCAGAACAATGGGTCAAACCGGACAAGACTACTGCGACCAGAACAAGGGGTCAAACCGGGCAAGACCACTGAGATCAGAACAATGGGTCAAACCGGACAAGACTACTGAGATCAGAACAAGGGGTCAAACCGGACAAGACCACTGAGACTAGAACAAGGGGTCAAACCGGGCAAGACCACTGAGACTAGAACAAGGGGTCAAACTGGACAAGACCACTGAGACTAGAACAAGGGGTCAAACCGGACAAGACCACTGAGACTAGAACAAGGGGTCAAACCGGGCAAGACCACTGAGACTAGAAAAAGGGGTCAAACCGGGCAAGACCACTGAGACTAGAACAAGGGGTCAAACCGGACAAGACCACTGAGACTAGAACAAGGGGTCAAACCGGGCAAGACTACTGCGACCAGAACAAGGGGTCAAACCGAACAAGACCACTGAGATCAGAACAATGGGTCAAACTGAAAAAGACCACTGAGACTAGAACAATGGGTAAACCGGGCAAGACCACTCAGACTAGAACAAGGGGTCAAACCGGACAAGACCACTGAGACTAGAACAAGGGGTCGAACCGGGCAAGACTACTGCGACCATAACAACGGGTCAAACCGGACAAGACCACTGGGATCAGAACAATGGGTCAAATCGGACAAGACCACTGTGACCAGAACAACGGGCCAAACCGGACAAGACCACTGAGACCAGAACAAGGGGTCAAACCGTACAAGACCACTGATATCAGAACAAGGGGTCAAACCGGACAAGCCCACTGGGATCAGAACAAGGGGTCAAACCGGACAAGCCCACTGGGATCAGAACAAGGGGTCAAACCGGGCAAGACTACTGCGACCAGAACAACGGGTCAAACCGGACAAGACTACTGAGATCAGAACAACGGGTCAAACCGGACAAGACTACTGCGACCAGAACAAGGGGTCAAACCGGACAAGACCACTGAGATCAGAACAATGGGTCAAACCGGACAAGACTACTGAGATCAGAACAAGGGGTCAAACCGGACAAGACCACTGAGACCAGAACAAGGGGTCAAACCGGGCAAGACCACTGAGACTAGAACAAGGGGTCAAACCGGACAAGACCACTGAGATCAGAACAAGGGGTCAAACCGGACAAGACCACTGAGATCAGAACAAGGGGTCAAACCGGACAAGACCAGTGAGATCAGAACAATGGGTCAAACCGGACAAGACTACTGAGATCAGAACAATGGGTCAAACCGGACAAGACTACTGCGACCAGAACAAGGGGTCAAACCGGACAAGACTACTGAGATCAGAACAATGGGTCAAACCGGACAAGACTACTGCGACCAGAACAAGGGGTCAAACCGGACAAGACTACTCAGATCAGAACAATGGGTCAAACCGGACAAGACCACTGAGACTAGAACAAGGGGTCAAAACGGACAAGACCACTGAGACTAAAACAAGGGGTCAAACCGGGCAAGACCACTGAGACTAGAACAATGGGTCAAACCGGGCAAGACCACTGAGACTAGAACAAGGGGTCAAACTGGACAAGACCACTGAGACTAGAACAAGGGGTCAAACCGGACAAGACCACTGAGACTAGAACAAGGGGTCAAACCGGGCAAGACCACTGAGACTAGAACAAGGGGTCAAACCGGGCAAGACCACTGAGACTAGAACAAGGGGTCAAACCGGACAAGACCACTGAGACTAGAACAAGGGGTCAAACCGGACAAGACCACTGAGACTAGAACAAGGGGTCAAACCGGACAAGACCACTGAGACTAGAACAAGGGGTCAAACCGGGCAAGACCACTGAGACTAGAACAAGGGGTCAAACCGGACAAGACCACTGAGACTAGAACAAGGGGTCAAACCGGACAAGACCACTGAGACTAGAACAAGGGGTCAAACCGGACAAGACCACTGAGACTAGAACAAGGGGTCAAACCGGACAAGACCACTGAGACTAGAACAAGGGGTCAAACCGGACAAGACCACTGAGACTAGAACAAGGGGTCAAACCGGACAAGACCACTGAGACTAGAACAAGGGGTCAAACCGGACAAGACCACTGAGACTAGAACAAGGGGTCAAACCGGACAAGACCACTGAGACTAGAACAAGGGGTCAAACCGGACAAGACCACTGAGACTAGAACAAGGGGTCAAACCGGGCAAGACCACTGAGACTAGAACAAGGGGTCAAACCGGACAAGACCACTGAGACTAGAACAAGGGGTCAAACCGGACAAGACCACTGAGACTAGAACAAGGGGTCAAACCGGACAAGACCACTGAGACTAGAACAAGGGGTCAAACCGGACAAGACCACTGAGACTAGAACAAGGGGTCAAACCGGACAAGACCACTGAGACTAGAACAAGGGGTCAAACCGGACAAGACCACTGAGACTAGAACAAGGGGTCAAACCGGACAAGACCACTGAGACTAGAACAAGGGGTCAAACCGGACAAGACCACTGAGACTAGAACAAGGGGTCAAACCGGACAAGACCACTGAGACTAGAACAAGGGGTCAAACCGGACAAGACCACTGAGACTAGAACAAGGGGTCAAACCGGACAAGACCACTGAGACTAGAACAAGGGGTCAAACCGGACAAGACCACTGAGACTAGAACAAGGGGTCAAACCGGGCAAGACCACTGAGACTAGAACAAGGGGTCAAACCGGACAAGACCACTGAGACTAGAACAAGGGGTCAAACCGGACAAGACCACTGAGACTAGAACAAGGGGTCAAACCGGACAAGACCACTGAGACTAGAACAAGGGGTCAAACCGGACAAGACCACTGAGACTAGAACAAGGGGTCAAACCGGACAAGACCACTGAGACTAGAACAAGGGGTCAAACCGGACAAGACCACTGAGACTAGAACAAGGGGTCAAACCGGACAAGACCACTGAGACTAGAACAAGGGGTCAAACCGGACAAGACCACTGAGACTAGAACAAGGGGTCAAACCGGGCAAGACCACTGAGACTAGAACAAGGGGTCAAACCGGACAAGACCACTGAGACTAGAACAAGGGGTCAAACCGGACAAGACCACTGAGACTAGAACAAGGGGTCAAACCGGACAAGACCACTGAGACTAGAACAAGGGGTCAAACCGGACAAGACCACTGAGACTAGAACAAGGGGTCAAACCGGACAAGACCACTGAGACTAGAACAAGGGGTCAAACCGGACAAGACCACTGAGACTAGAACAAGGGGTCAAACCGGACAAGACCACTGAGACTAGAACAAGGGGTCAAACCGGACAAGACCACTGAGACTAGAACAAGGGGTCAAACCGGACAAGACCACTGAGACTAGAACAAGGGGTCAAACCGGACAAGACCACTGAGACTAGAACAAGGGGTCAAACCGGACAAGACCACTGAGACCAGAACAAGGGGTCAAACCGGGCAAGACCACTGAGATCAGAACAAGGGGTCAAACCGGACAAGACTACTGAGATCAGAACAACGGGTCAAACCGGGCAAGACTACTGAGATCAGAACAACGGGTCAAACCGGGCAAAACCACTGAGACTAGAACAAGGGGTCAAACCGGGCAAGACCACTGAGATCAGAACAAGGGGTCAAACCGGAAAAGACCACTGTGACCAGAACAACGGGTCAAACCGGGCAAGACTACTGAGATCACAACAACGGGTCAAACCGGGCAAGACCACTGATATCAGAACAACGGGTCAAACCGGGAAAGACTACTGAGATCAGAACAACGGGGCAAACCGGGCAAAACCACTGAGAATAGAACAAGGGGTCAAACCGGGCAAGACCATTGAGATCAGAACAAGGGGTCAAGCCGGGCAAGACCACTGAGATCAGATCAAGGGGTCAAACCGGACAAGACCACTGAGATCAGAACAAGGGGTCAAACCAGACAAAACCAGTGTAACCAGAACAAGTGGTCAAACCGAACAAGACCACTGAGATCAGAACAAGGGGTCAAACTGGACAAGACCACTGCGACCTGAACAAGGGGTCAAACCGGACAAGACCACTGTGACCAGAACAATGGGTCAAACCGGACAAGACCACTGTGACCAGAACAAGGGGTCAAACCGGACAAGACCACTGTGCCCAGAACAATGGGTCAAACCGGACAAGACCACTGTGACCAGAACAAGGGGTCAAACTGGATAAGACCACTGCGACCTGAACAAGGGGTCAAACCGGACAAGATCACTGTGACCCGATCAACAGGTCAAACCAGATCCAAAGCAATGAGACCAAGACCCATATTCCTGAAACTGTTCTCGTGCTCAAGCATGGACTTAACTCAGTTAAATCATGTCAAACAATCAAAAATAGTAAAATAAAAAAAGTAACATTGAAAACAGCATTTGGCTTTAAGTCCCTTCGATTCTTTTCTTAAACATTCACAAAATGATATTTATTTTATTAATTTATAACCAGAGCAAGAAATAATTCTTGAGCACAAAACCCATGCTTGGTATGAGACCGATCTTATCAATACGGGCCCTGATTAAGAGGCCAGATAGTGCAGACTAGGAAATGTGTTAGTGTATGCCCTGTAGTGTAAGCGAGGGGGATGGCAGGGAGGAGGGGGCACGACACCTACTGGGTGGTTATTCGACCTCGAAGTCGACCTAGCACATAAAGGTCTCTGTGTGTGAGAAATAGTCACTTCCCCTGACATAAATACAATCCGATAAGTATTTACAAAGGACCGGACGGTCATTCGGGCCTGTTTGACCATCTTTTATTATGATTAATAGTTTTTGTCTTCGAAAATAATGACATATATAGTTTACCAATCATCATAATCCCTATTCCCCGAACAAAGCAGCGTGATAATAAAACAATGTACGTGGCGAGTAAAAGTCACTTTTAGGTTCGTGATTTGTTTACAAATACTTTTCGTGATACATTATGCAAAACACGTAAATTTACAAACTTGTAAGTTTATCATTAAAATGTAACTTTTACTATGAAAGACGTCTGTATGCAAATACACGGCCCCAGTAACTCACTTCGTGCTCGCCTGTGTTTATAATGTGTTTAAAAACAGCCAGGGATTATACTTACCCACATCCCGACGATGAGAACGCAGATGAAATAGAGAACGACGACAGTTATGTCTGCCCAGTGGTCAAGCCCTCGAGTGGCCATGTTGAAAAGTCTTATAGGTCAGTATCCTAGACCCGTTTTAGCTTACTTTCCACAATAGTGTAATAACTACGTAGTCCTGTCTTGGACATCAGTGACTTTTTAACGATGACCTTTGACCCAGTGCCAGTTGTCGACCTCTCTAGAGTTCTCCTGATACTGCTGCTGAGTTACGCGGAAGTCACCGTCCACGACAAGGCGGTATTTTACGTGCGAATACTGGACTGAGGTACATGTGTACGCGCTGCAGTGTATGCGCAGTCCTTGTTGACATCCTTGACTGTGTAGAAATTTGATAAAGGCAGGGCTGCAGAAACGTTATCTTATGTAGGTCAGTCCAGCGACGTTCACTTATCTGAGACTTAATTAAAATCACCAAACACATTTACAGGCCCCAAGGTTATTCATTTATAACCTGATTAACATATGATTGACGCCCCTTTTGTTTACCTTTATCAGATACCTATAATAAGGCTATGTACGTATCTGGCTCTTTACCATAAAAAGTCAAACGTACACTTTGAAACAGGAATGATATATCTGCGTTGTCGCTACATGTATCACTAAAGTGCTATTTATAGTAAAACCTCGATATAATGCCCTTACAATTTGTAGATTTATTTTCCACCTCTTCATCTTTCAAGTTCCCATATTTTCTTCAATTATATCACAATTATCAACACAGCTGATCTTCTTTTCAGAACAACATTCTCTTTTTTCGGAACAAGATAAATACTACAGCAAAAGCTCGTCATTTCGTCTCCCGTAACATATCGCAAAACCCAATATATCGACAAATTCTCAGGTCCTGGGTAATGTCTGGCAGTATAACGAGAACTTTCTGTAGTATTTATATTGTCATTAAAATGGAGAATAATTGCTCTGAAAACATTGCTTGTTTTATCGCTTATGTAGCTTTCATGTGGTCACTTGTACTCACTTTTAATTGTACACCACATGTGTGTAATTTTTCTTGACGTCTGACAATATGTATCCATAATTTAAAAAGATATTGCGAAAAATGTTGGCGCTATAGACTATGTATTTATTATTACATTCTGTCATTCATCTAATGAGGACGCAAAACAATACCCCTAATACTGCAGGGTTCTAACATCAGTCGCCTCAGACAAGCAAGTAGTGGGATACGTTTACATCAGGCTGTGATACAGATTACCTAATACCCCCTTAACTTGCAGTATTATGAGACAAAAACAACTGTAACAACGAGAAAACAAGTAGTTGAGACAGTACAACATGGACTACATGTGTATAAGGAAAATCTTCAATAGGATTCATCAGTTTGGAAATATGATATATCAAAGTTTTACTTTCTACACAAACAATTCACGTATTAAACGTGTCGCAACGTTTCAAGACCGACTGGTCCCTTTTTGTATTTTTTTTTAACCGTGCAGCGATGTGACGAAAAGATAACAAAGCGATGGTGCAAACACATTAATCATGTGTCCTTTGCTTGACAATAGATAAATACTGAGTGAATTCACAACAACCTCGGCACCTAGCTATAGACATGTTATGTCATATCCTGGTAGCGCGTTATGTCAGGTGTGCCATCTCAAGTATTTATTGTTTTGACTGAACTCTTGGTTATGTACGTGGTTGTACCATCTCAAGTATTTATTGTTGTGACTGAACTCTTTGTTATGTGTTTGTCGTTCTAACCTTCGTTGCTACGATGTCGATAAATGTCTTTTCTCAAACAAAAAGACTAAACAACTCTCGTGGGTTTACATATAAATCGTTGTTTAATTCTACACGCAAATTGATCTTAGAAGGTGATGGTTTTGTCTTTGTTGAGTGTTGTGATGAACTTTAAGATTTCTCTGACAATATATACATATGTTCCATGGATGTCGTTGTGGCTCACTGAGTCGAACAGGTGTCTGACTACATTGTATCACATTAAGTATTGACAAATCAGAGCGATACTTTCTATTCACGGTATTCAAAGAGGAAGTGATAGTTTAGTTTTATTTTCTTAAAAACAAGCCCTATGTGTGTATATGTGGTTGTTTAGGTACAGCTTTGCTACATACAATTCACAACGTTTTTGTACGTAAATCTTACGAGATTAAATGGCACATGTTCAATTGTATTGAAATGCCCATTTTAATTGACGCGCAGCCTTATGGTTGTCATCGAGTATAGTTCATACTTAGATTTAATCTTCTAGGGCTTCGTGTGAAATATAGATGTAAACGATTTGTTTCCATACTCGACATGATGTTAAAAACGTTATATATAATAAAAGTGACCGAAAAAGAGGATTGTCTACTATGACACTGATCCAATCGCGTTCATAGCCATATAATGCCAAAAAATTAACTAATAGCACAGGTGACAAAATAACAGCTGTTCGTTTTGAATATACTGTTCTTTTCATGTGACTACCTTTAAAATTTCCAAATCACCGTTTTTTCTATAAGCCATTGTCGTTCGAGTTGTCCCCAATGTATAAACATATTTGATGTTAATTCGGAGTAAAAAATAGCGTTTGATGTTTTCAATATTGAATTATTGTTATAAAACCGTTGACTTTTTAAATTATTTTGACGTTAATTTCACGTCAATGTAATGTTTGAAATGTTTCAACGTTTTCTCAACATCAAAATATTTATCCTAGACATTCATTGTTTTATTTTCATGTTGCCGATAATTTGTTATATAACTTTAAAAAATGACTTTCATATCAAACGTTAAAAATAACCTAGAATGACTGTTTTTCACTACGGAAGAATAATTGAAAAATTTGCTGTTTACAGTATACCTGTGTTTTCTGTACCTGTATTCACTTATAACTTAATGCCTTAGATTCAGGCAAAGAAATTCGAGTTGTTCTCTGTGACGTAAGCAAAGCCTTCGACCGAGTCTGGCATCGAGGTCTCCTCCAAATTTGGCATGTCTGGTAGTTTACTAAAATTGTTCAAAAATTAACTCAATAACAGGAAACAAAGGGTGATTTTAAATAATTGTAAAACGGACTGGGCATCTATCATTGCTGGGGTCCCTCACGGCTCGATCCTCGGTCCTCTTTTATTTCTTGTGTATATTTCTTGTGTATATTAATGACATTGTTCATGAAATCAATTCCACAATTCAGCTATTTGTCGGTGATACATCTCCGTACATAGTAGTAGATACTCCCGTTACGGCACATGCTACTTAAGAATCAGATATTAATAAAATCACGTGTGGTCCCGACAGTGGCTTCCCGAAAAACTGAAACTATGTTAATAAGCAGGAAAGAAATCCCATTTACCACCCCCTCTAAATATGAACAACTTTCCAATAAATAAGGTATCCTCTCACAAGCACCTTGGTGTGTACTACTCTGGAGATGGTCGTTGGCTCTCTAGATCAAGTAAATTATAGCATTGCCAAAGCCTCCTTTAAAATCAATATAATGAGATCTTTGAAATTCCAATTGGATAGACAAACTTTGCAAACTATACATTTCTCTTGTATAAGACCACTTCTTGAATATGGTGATATAGTATGGGGAAATATTCCGAAAGAACTGGAAAAAAACTTGAAACTCTCAATATTGAAGCTGCTCGGATAGTAACTGGCGCAACAAAACTAACAAGTATTGACAAAATGTTCAATGGAGCAAGATGGACGAGATTATTTGATCATAGACAAAATCGAAAAATTCTTCAATTTCATAAAATGTTATACCAATATAGCCTCAATATTTGTATAATCTTGTTCCTCTTGTTCACAGTTTCGGAAGGACATAGATATGATACAAGGAACTCAGATCAAACATGTGTCACTCCAATATTGTACAATACTGCTTTTTATAAACAATCGTTTGTACCCTCTACTATAGATCAATGGTATAAACTACCATCTGATGTTAGATCAAATCCGTCTATTTCCGCTATAAAACCACACCTTGATAAACAGTTAAGGTCATAGGAGTGTATTGATAAACGGAAGTAGGAAGTACATCCCTAGTTGAAAATCCAATGTAGGGAGACAGTATCACAATTTCCGCATATTCCAATGTTTAATATCAAACCGATGAATATTGTATGTTTATTATTGTCAGAACAGTGTTTTCTCTCAATATTTAAGTATTTCAAAGCAATGCAGGCATTAATTCAGGTGGGTTCTTTTTTATCAATGAGCCACATGTATCCATTTTTCTGTACTTCAGGAAAACGGCTACCTATTTCACTACTTTGATTTTTTTCAAGAAAGATAACTCTTACCTGCAATTACTATGTGCATATGGTTTTATTATAAAATGTCAATTTTTATCGTTTATTGATCATTTATTTGACATAATTTCAGCATTTATTAAATTGATATACATTAATGCAATACTAATCTATGGCAGTATCATTTTTATTGACATTATTTTGCAAAATATTTGTCTTTCATTTTTTTTCAAAGGTCAATCCTTTTTACATAAATTTCCATCTAAATTCCTTAAAATTATGACAACCTATATTTTTTTTTTGTGGCAAAAAATTGTCTTAGTTATTTAGTAAGAATATTGTTCAATCTCCGCTATGTTTATGCGGTCAAGTTGAAAACACTGCTCACTTTCTTTTAGAATGTACCAGATATGACGACATAAGAAGACAGTATTTATATTCTTTGCCTTACAATATTACCACAGATATTTGGGAACCAGACATTGTCATTACAAGAAAATGAGGTTATCTTCCTAGGTGTCCAATATATATATTAAAAACAAACAGGTTTTCCTTAAGATTTAATATTTCATAAACATGTATGTGCTTAAAGCCGAATTGTACGTATGTAAGAACAAGTAAAACCCTTTAACAATCAAAACCCTTCACCATTAATTATCTCCTTTTCTTTCTCCTTGTTTAAACTATTGTCACTGATCGTTGTATTGTATGTATTTTCCTTGATAACAATATGCTGTCCATCCTGAATATATTTTGCAAATTATGATAAGGTGATAGATTTACATAAGTGTCTGAGACACTTGTTACTATTTCCTATTTTGTACCATGTATTTTGTTACAGCATGTGTTATATATATATATAGTAGATAATAAATAAATAAGTCCTTGCGAAGGAAAATATAGAATAAAAACTAATTTTTCAGATCGTCCGCTAGGCCTTCCTGCCTTCTAGGGCTTCTTCAGGCGGATTGATGTTTATTTATTTTACAATTATATATATATATATATATATATAATTGAAATACTTGTATACCTGTTAATGTATACACGTATACGCATACCAGTATACCAGTATACCACCAGTATACCAGTATACCACCAGTA